GAAAAAAAAAAAAAAAAAGTAGCTCTCTGTTTTCCGTCTAAGACTTGACCCATCCATCACAAACAACATGTGTATCACTGACAAGTTTATAAGAGTCCATCAGGTTGTACTGCAACATCTATCAGTGTGCATATATGCTTCTAAGAGATATCTCATCCTTCCATGCACAAAATTTCCTTTGGCACAACATATATGAGGGTGAGAATTTGAACTGGCCTTCGAGCTATGTCAGGTTGGTAGTTTGGCACAATATAATTGAACTACTGAAGAGTGAAAATAACCTAAAACTTCAATAATAGAGCTAAACCATCGAGGTTTCAAGCTTTGGTACTTATGGTTCTTATCCTCAGCAAAAGTCTGGTAAAGACTGCAAAAGATTTTAATTTTTTCTATAATCAATATAAAAAGTTAAGCCAATATTACAAGAAAAATTAGAGAAACTGCTATAGATCAAATGGAACATAGCTCATATCCAAGAAATCATGGTCGTATTTCATCAGCTCAATAAACCAAACCAGTTTGTAACCCCAATAGCATCTCCATTAATTCAATTAGCAGTAATCAATTCATGCATAGCTGTTATTCGAAAGGTAACTCTGCCTAACGGTGGAAAAAGGCATCTCTTCTATAGATTTCAAATACATAAACACCATCGGCCAAATAATGCCTGGAGAACTATTTAGCAAATATCTTCACCAACTTGCGCCAATATCTTGCATTAAATCAAAGAGAAGAAGGGCACCGATAGACCTAATTCAAGAAGAGATTTATTCAAATGATGTTGATCCAACAACTAACAAGAATACCCCCAATCTGTCCTAATTGTCGGTGGCTAGTGACTTGCCCACCAATGAATCAAAACATTCTAGCGGGAAGAAGATCTAGAAATATTGAAAGCGAAATAGAGAAGTCATAGCATTACAGTCGTTAACAAAGAACAGGGTAGCAATGGAATACAAAGCATTGAATGATCGAGAAATTTGTAATTCCAAAAAAGACAGATATATGAGAAAGAGATGAAGGGTACGTGATAATCTGGAGATCGAACAACGGGAAATAATTGAAGAAGGCGACGAAATTCGAACTCGTCCATGATTGTCCTAGGAACTATGCGACGTCGAAATGAGCTTTTAATACCTTACGCTCAGGAAAATCCGGTTCGAACTCAAAGCCTCTTCAAGAATCAGATTTCTCTAAAACTGCCTTAGGGTAATTCTTCATTTCTTGTTAGACCAGAAAAGAATGTCTCCCCAAAATTACAATTTACAATTTACCATTTAAAAAAAAAAAAAAAAAAATTATATAATTAAAATTATTGGGGGATCAACTTTTGCCCTTAAAACAAAAACCTAGAATTAATAAATCCTTTATTATTTTTTTTTTCAGTATTTTAAAAAATTAACACGACCATCACACACAAAATTAAAATTTTAAATTCTATTAAACATAAAGTTTAATTCATACTCTTTTTTTTTTTTCAAAGTTTAATCATCAAATTAAAATAGATTTAAAAATTTAGACATCAAACTTGTTATTTAACCCAATTTATTAATTTAAAATAAAATATTACATAGAATGAAGTTATAAATTATTCAGTCATGGACGAGAATTCGAATTCCGTCTAATTTCCATTTCAATGCTTCAAGATTTTACAGTGAGTAAATTTTTACTGATAACTACTTGGGTTAGTTTTCAATTAATTAATTTAAAACAATTAAATTAGTTTTCATTAATTTTTAGTTATATCACATGATAATTATTTTAAACTATCAACAATGAAAGTGAACATGATCAAATTTGAGCAAAAGTATAATATTTTGAAATTTATAAACCAAATTACTATCAACAAATATTTTTTTTCCTGAAGCAAACGTTTGACTATTTAAACAAACGTTTATTAGAGATTAAATAGGGAAAATAGTTTCACTAACAATTATATAAAGCCATCATTACAGATATATTTTGTATTAAATGCACAAAAGAGAGGAGAAAGTCCTAAATAAAACATATATATATATATAAAGCTAACTATATATCACCTGAAATCCGAGTAAAAAGAGCCATATTATTTGAATATTAAAAACAGCAATAATTAAATAAAAAAATCGATAAGAGTAAAAACAAAATCACTCTGTAAAAAGAAATATGCAAGCAGTACCAACTAACAAGAAGAAAAACTCGTTAAACTTGAAGTGAAGCGACATTAGCGAAACGGAACCTGAACTTTCCTTCTTGTCGCTATCATTATCAGCGACGTCGTTTCTGGGATTGTCGAAACTGGATGGGACGATGGTGTCAGGTGCTGATTCTGTTCGGTCGCCCGAGTCGGGAACTACCGGAGCCGGAGCTTCGTCTGAGGAGTCTCCCAAGCTCTTCGGAAGGCCCTGTCCATGAGTGACATTTATTTTGAAATGTTGCCCATTTTGGCATTGTTCACCGTCGTAGTGACCGGAGAAGAAATAGTTGGCCCCTTCTTTCACCAAAGGCACGGCAACCGTCACAGCGTGAGGAGTGGTTGCGGATGGGTCGGCAGCGGACCATTCCGTCGTGTCGTCTTCCGATGCGTCGTCATAGTCGCAAAGGTTGTATGTAGTGAAATTGTATGTTTGCACAACTGAGTGATTGTTGTCCGTGTTGAAAACTGCAAAATAAATATCCCAACATTTTTTTAAATTATTTTCAATCCTCAAATTTAGTAAATTTCTAAAATTGAGCTATACTATATCAACATCACAAGTCTAATTTCTAAATTATACTACAAAGTTCAAATACAAATTAAATAGAACAAATATTTTTTAAACAATTTTAATTTGTTAAGGATCTATAAAAACATAAATTTTGTTGACTATTAAACTTAATTATAAATTATAAAAATAAAATAGCCCACAAAATTTTAGGGGCTTCACAGTTAACAGCTTTACAACAAAATGGCACATGGATGAACACGGCCGACAATTCCAAACCAACCAATCATACGAGAACACGTGTCACACAGTACAGTAGTAAGAATACAGTTGCGTGCATGGTGGAAAACTCAGGAGAAAAAGAGAGAAGAAAGGAAACGCACAAGACACCGTCATGTTAGTTCAGCTGTCAAAACCTTCTTTCTATGTACGGCCAGTGCCTTTTTTTTTTTCTTTTAGCTTCGGCCTGGATAAGGAGCTCTCTCTATTATTGGACTTTCCCCTTTCAATCATTTACTATCCTAAACTAACCTAAAACGACGCTCCAATTTTCAGAAGAAGCCATATTTTCATGGGGCTCTTTCAAGTAAAAACAACGAAAAATGAAAATTCAATTTATTATTTATATTTCGAATATTACATTCATAAATCGGCCTTAAAAGGAAGTTACGAAATCTATTTACATTAAGATTGGTTGGTTCAATATGTTTGCGGTATTCGTAATCACATTATTATTATTGTTCTTCTATAATATTGGCTTACATGAGGGGAATTATTCGAATCTATGATTTAGAGCCGCTAAGTTTTTCACTGGTAGAGTATGAATTAGGTCGAAATGACGTCCTTAAAGTCAATTTTGTTCAATTTTTATTTAATTAAAAGTTATCGAAGACTGGAATCGATTCATTCAAACAAAAATACAGACAAAAAAAACTAGAGAGATGAAAATATCAGAAGATCGCAGATGGACCACACATTTACTCTGGAAAACGATAAAACGAAAAGGAAACAGGACAAATTTGCAAGTCATAACGAAAAAGATTCTAAACTTGATCAAGCGAGTTCATAGAAGTGAAGACGGAAATCGAATCGTACGAGTTTTTCGAAAATCGAGAAGCGAGAGATCCGAAATTCCGAGTTTGCATAACGATCAATCGAAAATCAAAATCATAAACTAAACAGAGAGAGCGAAGAGGAAAAATAATCAGAACTTACTTAGAAAATCGCCAAGGCTGAAGGTCTTGCCGACGGTCCAGTTCTGATAATCGACGGCAGGTTTCTCCAATTCATCGAACCAACCGAGGGAATCTCCGACGGTGTAGTTCTGGTAGGCGTTAACGAGAGATCGGCCGGAAAGGGAGAGGAAAATGAGGACGAGAAGGAAGGGAGATGGAAGAAGATCGGCTCTGTACTTCCTCTGTTCCATTAATTCTTCTAGGGATTCGTGAACTGGAACTGAGAGAGATTTTGGCTCTGTAGAGGGATGTATGTAGTCTAGTGAAAAATCATGCTTGGCCTGTGATGCCAGCTATATACTCTCTTCATCATTTACTAATATGCCCCTCATTTTCGCACTAATTACACTAACTCTAAGTTGATTTAATTTACTTTTATTTTTTTGAAAATGGGCTAAGTGGATAAATATAAATTAATAATTTATGAAATTATTCTGGTTTTGTTGGCTAATTCATACTAATCGAATATTAATCTTTTTGTAATTATTTTTAACTAAGCTTACTAGAGAAAAAAAAATGTCTAAAATTTTTCGAATATATTCTAATTTTAGGATACAAAGGGTAATTATGTAATTTTATCATTGATTTTTATCCATTATTCTTTATTTTTTTAGGAATGAATAAGTTTTTAAATGCTTAGGAAACTCATTTTTCTCGATAACAAACGAGTTAGCTGATGGTTTAGCTAGCTCGAGTTTATTTAGTAGACGACAAAGCAGTCTAAAATACTTTTCAAAAATTAATTATTATTGAATTAAAGTTTGTTTTTTTTTTTTTTTTTTTTTTTTTTTTTTTTTTTTTTTTTTTTTTTTTTTTTTTTTTTTTTTTTTTTTTTTTTTTTTTTTTTTTTTTTTTTTTTTTTTTTTTTTTTTTTTTTTTTTTTTTTTTTTTTTTTTTTTTTTTAAATGATGTGAGGAGGGAGATTCATATGTACTAACCATAAGTGGCAATAAATTATTGCTTATTAGTTAACCTAATGAATGAAGCAAACAGTCTTAACTTGGAAAATAAAAATAAAAAGAAATAAAATATTCTATGAGTAAAGGACAGCGGGGAATCAAATTCCAAAAGGAAATATAGAGAATAAATAAAGTAATAATAGAAGATGTCAGATGTCGGTTGTCAGAGACCCAATGTTAAGTGGAATGTTAAATCTTGATTATGTCGCTTAATTGGCTCCTTAATTTTTAATTAGAAGAGTTCGAGTTCCACCAACTGCGATAATTGGGGCGCTTGGATATCAGGATATTAGTATTTTAATTAACTTTTATTAATTACCAGATTATTGAAGATTGTCTACCATTTCTCAATTAATTAACGGTTTTCTTTCCTTTTAAATTTTATAATTTAAATAAGTCACTTCTCATCATGAAATTATATATATAAAAGTACATTTAAATTTTACTATAAAAGTTGTCGCTAAGGAGAGGTTTTCATACTTTTACAAATTATATTTCGTTCCTCTCTTCAACTAATGTAAGATCTCACAATCCACTTTTCTTGGGGGCCCAACATCAGCGCATCACCCGGTGTCTAGCTCTGATATAATTTATAATGGTTCAAGCCCACCGCTAGTAGATATTGTCCTTTTTAGGCTTTCTCTCAAAATTTTAACATGCGTATAAAGAGGTTTCTACCCCATATAAAAAATGCTTATTTCCCCTCCTCAACCAATATGAAATTTTATACATATTCTGTATTTAAAAAATACTTCTTGCAATATGTATTACTGATATTTCATAAAGAAATTAAGTAAAATATTGGACGAAAAATGGACAAGCCCTTTAGTAATGGAAAAGGATTTTCTTGCTTGTTTAGTAATATCACTATTTTCATTTTAATAGGAGTAAATGCTTGCAAAGGTAAGAACACTTGTCATTCTTCATTTGAAACTAATGAAAGTTAGGTTCCGAGACTCTACTTTGTTATAAAAAAGAGAGTTGAGTAAAGCAAGCTACCTCCATAGACAAGCAGGAGGCGTAGTCAAGTAAAGCTGGGTTGTGTTGTTGGATACTTTGATCAGAAAAAATTCAGCAGGGCCAACGCTTGCACGACCGAACATGTGTTAGAAAGGTCAATCTTCGCCTATGACAAAAAAAAATATATTATTCCAATGTCAAATTCACTTTAAACAAAGCAAAGAGATTAGGGACGATGGGAGCAAATAACTTCTCAGACTGTGCTACCGAGTTCATCCCTGTATATCGTACCCGAACATATACATCAACGAAGGACGAGAACTCATCAGCTCAAAATTGGCCATCCACAAGATTCTAATCTCAAATAATCTCTTATAGAGTTCAGTATAAAAGAAAAGGGTCACTAAGAAAGAA